CGATTAAACGTACCGGTACGTTTATTTTTTTCGGCCCGAACGTCCATCCGGTACACTCTTATTAGGGACGGTACGTTTATTACATGTAATTTTTGGGAAAAAAATGTCCATACGCACCGCACCATCAGCAAGTGGCCGGCGGCCGCAAAATTCGGCAACACGTCACAGATAAATATTTGGTCCATGATAGCGGCATTTCCCATGAATATAATGTATATTATTTATTTTTCGCCTGCTGTCCATTTTTAAGTCCCAAAACGTCTGAAAAAGCAAAAATTTGCCCACAAAACCGAAGGGGAAGGCGAGTAGCTAATCGACGTATTCAGCACATGGCGGCCGCAAGTCCTTGTCAAAATCGGCAACGCGGCAGAAAATGCCTGGTCCATTTTAGCGATATTTACCATGAAAAAACGTATGTGGTTTATTTTCCCTCTGGTGTTAGTTTTTAGGTCCCGAAACCCCTAAAAAAGTAAAAATTTGTCCACAAGACGGACGGCCGACGTGGGGAGGGCGCCTAGCGCCTGAGCAGCATGACCCGTAAAAAGTCAAAGGTCATAGGGCACCCATATTGCGCAATCACCGTAAAAGCGCCGATTTAGCTAATTTTAGGGCGTTTAAGATTGATACAATCACATTATCGATTTTTAAAAAAAACAATGAGATGGAAACCAATCAAAATTTTATGCTGAATAATATTTTTTCTTCAAAAGTTTTTTCTTCAGAAGTTTTTCTTCTTCAGAATCCAGACTTTGACCAGACTAGACAATGTACTACCATACCAAATAATTATTATGTTGAAATGGATTTTGTTGTACATATGCTCATTAAACCCCTATATTTGTACTTAATTGGGCTTGATTTTCTATCTCTTAAGTTAGTCAGATTTTCAACTCAAGTTGCAGGAGAAGGCTTAGCAAAGTGCATTTCAGAAGTGTAAAATGCAATAGCTTCTCCTACGGATTTTGTATTTCCCCAAAACAAGTACAATATATATATACTCATTAATTAAAGTGATATATACTCACTAATTAAATGTAACAGTGAAAGATTTGCCCATATATTGGTATTGAAATAAAGAGCACATTTTAGTATCATGCACACACAGTTCACCTGTCAATTTGGTCATTTTCCGGGGGGTACGTTTATTCCGGAGGGTATGTTTATTAGACTTTGAAGATTTGTCCGGGGGGTACGTTTATTCCGGGGGGTATGTTTATTAGGGACATGAGAGTAGTTCTTTTTTTGGGGTAGTGGGTTGGTCCATTGAATTCGAAGGGGTGAGTGTGAAGTGGGCCCTTAAAGGGATGGATCAGTAGATTTGTAGAGTGGGTCCATTAAGGGATAAATCATTCGATTTGTGAGGAGGGTCAACTGAAGGCTGATTCATTAGATTAGTGGGGAAGGTCCATTGTGAACTACTGGGGTGTAACATTAAATTGGTTAGGAGACTGCCTTGAAGGGATGGATCATTTGATTTGTTGGGTGGGTCCATTGAAGGGATGAATCATTCTATTAGTGAAGTGGGTTCATCGAATGGTCAGTTTGTTTGATACATGTATGTAGAGATTGTCCATAAAATGCATTGCCAATATATGTCAGGAGCCTTGCATTTTTTAAGTTGATCATGCAGAGAATACAGAGTAGGGGTCACGATCAAAGCTTTTAGTCAGTATCTCTGAATCATACATACTGTACCTCTACATCAGTACAGCAGTCCATACTAACGGTGCACGAGTTATAAATTATCTTCTCTATAACTCCCGGCATGTACATGGCATTCCAGACTGGTTTCTTAGATTACAGATCTATACTGTAATGATGCAGTCCCAGCATGTTGTAATGATGCCGTCCCGGCATGTTACAGGTTATCTGTAGCCTTGGCGGACATCCAGAACTGGGCCATGATTGAAGGTTATGTCGGTCAAGCTGACATTCTGATTCAGACATTCAGGAGCCATAATATAAGTATGATCATTAATGCAGGGCTGGAAATACTGGGGTGCACCCAAATGTGGAGCTGTGCACCCAATTCTTTTCTGTGGGTGCACCAGTGCAACCAATTTTTTTTTGTAGGTATTTTTGTACATATCAAATCTATAATAGTTTATAGGATATTCTTGGCATCATGGTGTCAGAAAAATAATAAAATAATTGTTGTAGTACTTGTTTACATTTTGAAATTAGCTCCCAGTAAGACCTGTAATAAGGTTTTGTTTTATATGGTGTACCCCAAAAAGTTTTGTGCACCCAATGTTTTTGGTTGGGTACCAGTGCACCTATTCCCAAAAATGAATTTCGAGCCCTGAAAGGCCTGATAAGTGATATACGTATGCAGTGCATGTGGCCATTGTGTAATGCACTGCAGAATGACGGCATTGAATTCCATTGGTCTGTGGGACATAAAATGGACATGGACGATTCTTGGAACAGTTGTGTGTAATCTGTGGCTTACGCATACTTGCTCTGTCTAGTGTTGCAGCATTGAACAAGGTGAGAGCCAGCATTTAAGCTAAACCTTTTTGACAGTCAGATAGTTTTGTAATTAGGGATTATTTAGTAGCTGTCTATTTATTTGTGTTTTTGCTCCACAGTTAGTCAGAATATGAAGTACTAGCAGGTAATATTAGGTTACCAATTCCCTATTGGTTATGTGGTTAGGCAGCAGGGAGAAGGTGTTAGAATAATTGACTGTGTAGCGTGCAGCAGCTGTACATGTTATATCAATTTCCAGTGTTTCCTTGGACTGAATACTTTAAGTATCAGGACCTGGATACCTGCCCTTACCTAATTATAAGTGCTGCACACATGGTGTGCGTCACATCATTATGTAATGCCTTAATTGTTTCCCAGCCTGGTTTGCCTTCAGAATGCCTGACTAGAAATTTTTTTAGTGATTCCTTCCTTGGACTGAATAATTGCCATGGACACCTGCCCTTATTTAACACTAAGTCTAGTATCACTTCATTGATAGTCAGCATTGACGACTTGCATTAAGATTGTGTGCTGCTCACTATTATGTAATGGTTTCCCAGCTGTTGCAATTGGCCTTCAGAATGACTGAAGAGAAATTTTTATTGACTCCTTGGACTGAATATGGACAAGGGCAGGGTGTTTTTACATTCAGGGCAGAGTATATATTGGTTCTATACCCTCAGTGTTAGACAGTCGGAGCAGAAACATGGTGAGTGTACATTTGTACATATGAGGTCTCTGCCCAGTTACTAGTAGAGTAATACTCCTGCTGTCTCTATCCAAAGAGCTAATAATTTAGAGCTTAATAAGTTATAGCTCCTTGCTCTCCATGCTGGATATTGTGACTTTTTAATGTGATAGCGTAGGTTTTAGGATTTAACAGTGAACATAACTTTTACTATATACAAATGTATACTTTTCATGTTTCAAAAACCTTATCAATGATATGCAGAAATTTAACTGTGTATGCTTTGGCAGAGATTTGAACTGATGTGCAATATGTCTTAATCATATCATAAGTTTTGGTGGCACAATTTTTAATTCCTTCTCCTCCTCCTTACAGATTTCTTGAGTGTTCGGCCAAAGACGAGATGTTTTCCACCATCTGCCTGAAGAATCAGACATTCGTGTTTCCCTGGCTGGCCAGGAAAAAGTACAACACTCGCCACAAACTCAGCTGAACACTCTCACCACCCCTTCCACCAGAGGTTGGACTCTTCTATTTTCGCAATAATAACATATCTTCGTCGCCATGACGAAATCGTACAGTTTAAAGGTCGCAAACGCTCGCTTGGGCGGTTTCCCGCGACTCCTACTTCGCTGGAAAGCGAGCATCTACAAACTCCTATACAAGGAGATGGCCATATTCATCACTTTGTACGTGGCACTCAGTATTATGTACCGTTTTGCGCTCAAGCCGCCCCAGAAGCGAACATTTGAGAAGATCGCGATGTACTGTCACCAGTACTCGGATCTGATTCCGGTATCGTTCCTTCTCGGTTTCTACGTGTCGATTATCTACGCGCGGTGGTGGAACCAGTATCTGTCGCTGCCGTGGCCGGACAGGCTGGCGTCTCTGATTGGCTGCGTTGTTCACGGCGCGGACGAGCGGGGACGCCTGATTCGCCGGACGATGGTGAGGTACCTGAACCTGAGCGCTGTGATGGTGATGAGGGGCGTGTCAACACTGGTGTACAAACGGTTTCCCACCATGACGCACATCATAGACGCAGGTAAGTTTTACACACACACACGCATGCACTCACACACACACACACGCATGCACTCACACACACACGGACACACAAACACACACACGCACACACATGCACGCACACAAACACACACAATATCACACTCACACGCACACACACACACACTCACACACACACTCACACACACACACACACAATATCACACTCACACACACGCACACAATATCACTCTCTCTCCATGCTCTCTCTCACACACACACAGACATAACCCCCCCCCTCCACGCACACACACACCACACACACACGTACATGTACACACACACGGACACAGACATGGTGATAAGGGGCGTGTCCAAACACTGGTGTGCAAACACATTACACAGTATAAAACATTGTATGATTGTGTTTTACAAGACAGGCTATTGCCTTTTCCACATGTTCAGGTTTCATGACCATCGCAGAGTGGAAGGAGTACGAGTCGCTGGAGTCCCACCACAGCAAGTTCTGGGTTCCGATCAACTGGTTCTGTAACCTGGCCAGCGAGGCCAGGCAGGAGGGGCGCATCCGCGACGACTTCGCCTTCAAGGCTCTCATGGAGGTTTGTAGACGTCTCACACACTTCAAGGTCACCTTCACCTGTGTCTTAGAGATTCTTGATCTTTTGCAAAGTTAACAGTGTGTTTGTGCGTCTTGTATCTGCAGAGAAAACATATAATTTTGATAATGACGTGCCACAATCAGTAGAAGAGGCCTCCAAGCTTGAATTGAGAGCTGAGGCACTGATTTCTCACTGAACCAGAGTGCTATGTAGAGCTTTTAGCCTATTTTAGTACTGTACAACTCTGTGGCTATTGCTCACAACAATACTTTATAGAAAAATATTTAAAATCCTGGAATAAACCTCAGAAGTTTGCTTGGCAGCTGCTCACAGTAATAGAACTCTTTTTTCCAGAGCGTTGATATTTCATCACCACGATCTGTTTTTTCGTTTCCTCCATGCTTTTTTTGCCGGCATGTTGTGTACAGCTCGTGTCTTCTGTTCTTTAGAAAAATACAAAATCAAAAGGATCTCGCAAAGGCTCCCAAACCAAGGTGTAATAAAGCGAGCTTCCTCCTTCTGGATAAAGAAAAGGAGTAAAAGTCGGTGAGACACAAGGGAATAAGTAACCTTCAGGATGGAAGGGAAGCTGGTCGTAAGTTACATCCATTTTTTGACTGTTTTTTTGTAGCTGACGCCTTATAACAATCTTGGCAAATCTTAAATAGGACCTAGGCATTGGTGGAGGACTTATTGATATATAATTATAATAGGTTTGTTAACCTTCTCCCTGCTGCCTAACCCTGTGATCAGTACAAATTTGGTGCCTGAAAAATACTCCAGCAGGGAGAAGGTTAAGAGCCTCAACACGATCCTATTTAAGTCCTTACGTTACATCTTACGTTGCTAAGACAGGATTGACAGAGGACTTCCAAGGATGATGATCTTAAGACATTGTAAGGTAAGATAAAAGTTCTTGCATGGTCGTGAGGTTTTTTTTACGTAACTAACTGCTTTTGTTGTTGTTCACAAGGTTGCAGTGGAAGATTTATATAAGTTGACCAGCTAACTGCTTTTTAAATTTTTTTTACGGTCGTGAGTCAGTTTCTGTATATTATGCGCAGAAAAGCTCTGCTGTGGTGCATTACGAAACGTGCAAAACAGTCATGTACTAACGACAGATAACCGTTTTTCTGCAGGGCATACCAAGGAGCTAACACAAGCAACGGTGGCTGGATAAGAAATTGTTAAGAAAAGCAAACAATCGAATGTACAGAAAAAATCCACCAATGCCTAGGTTTCCATGGTGATTACTGAAATTTGATAATTTGACGGTTTGTGTGAGAAGTTTTGGGTTTTGACACGTGTTCGCTGGTTGTGTTACAGGAGATTAACGTGTACCGAGGCTGTCTGGGGATGATCTACAGCTACGACTGGATCAGTGTGCCTCTGGTCTATACTCAGGTACGCATGGGAGGTTTTCCGTTGCATTACATGTATGAGGTACATGTACATTGTATGATAGGATCATTGTGCATTTTGTTTAATTCGCCTGCAATGTAATCCGCCTTGATGCAATGCGAGGGCCCGAATGTCCTAGTCCTGGGGTAGGTGGAACACTCCTACTCTGTAACCTCGAATGAGGGGGTGGAGATTGGATAGTAGTCGCTAAAGGAAGGGTCCCTGCCATGGGCAATCCATCTAGGACAAGGAAAGTCTGACTTAAAACCTACGACCCGAGGACCTCACTGTCACCGTCCCAGTTTACTAGGCTATGGCAGACGAACCCCGGGTGTAAAGGGTGGGAACAGTACTGCGCACACCGTCTCTCACCTTAAAAAGGCCACTGCACAGGCCTAAGGGCCCTTTCCCCCCACAAAGTCCTGCAGCGATGGGAAATTAAGGGCGAACCGGCAGGTAAACTAATAACTACAGACTGAGAATGTAGATTTGGTTTATACTGTTAGGTTAAACAGTTTTTTCTTCTCTGTTTTCGTTTGCCAGGTAGTAACAGTTGCTGTGTACACGTTCCTGCTATCCTGCCTGATGGGGCGGCAGTACCTGGACCCAGCCCAGGGGTACGAGGGGCATGAGGTCGACCTCTACGTCCCAGCATTCACCCTGCTGCAGTTCTTCTTCTACATGGGATGGCTCAAGGTGGGTCAGTTAGAGGGTCGGTTGGGGTTACATGTAGGACCCAGCCTGGGGATGGCTCAAGGTGGGTCAATGAGAGGGTTGTCGGGTGGGGTTACATGTCTGGGGCTGGCTTAAGGTGGATCAGGTACAGGGTCGGTTAGGACCCAGCCTGGGGGTGGCTCAAGGTGGGTGGGTGAGAGGGTCAGTTGGGATGGGGTAGGACCCAGCAGGGTCCCAAAGGTGGGTCTAGGAGAGTGTCAGGTGGGGTAAAATAGGATCCGTTCAGGGCTGGCTCAACGTGGGAGGGTGAGGGGGTTTGGTGGGGTTAGGACCTAGCCTAGGGTGGGTCTGTGAGTGGATGGGTGAGAATAGCTATAGGTTTATGACCTGGCCTTAAGCATCCCTCAAGGTAGAGCTGTGAGTAAGGTGGGGTTAAGGCCCAGTGCAGGGATGGATCAAGGCAGGTCTATGACTGAGATATAGAGAGTCATTTTAGGTGGGGTAACATGTACATGTAGAATATATATGATAGCCCAATATCTACATCTGGTGCAGAAAAGGACTGGCATGGAATCCATTTGTAAGAAAATCTAAAGATTAAAGTGTCGTGAATGAAAACACTTTTTGAGTTCTGAATACATGTTTTCCTGTCACCTCCAGGTTGCTGAGCAGCTGATCAACCCATTCGGGGAGGACGATGATGATTTTGACAGTAACTGGTGCATCGACAGGAACCTACAGGTAATTGACTCTACGTTCTCTCTCTCTCTCTATGGTTTATCATCTGTTGTTCCCCGTGTTCCGAGGGTTAGACGGTGCTTGCACTCTGATGCTGGGGCTTGATGGTAGCTCGCCATTTGCCTCTGTCCTGTGGTTCTTGGGCACAGAAAATATACTTATCTTTAAGTACCTCCGTTAGTGGGATAGTACTGTGTTGGTCGTAGGCCACATCTATTGAATTAGTTGGTCTCAATGAAGGAATGTAAAAAGTGGAAGATCAACGTCAAAACAAATTCATGTTTTGGCTCACACATTTCCATGGGGTAAAAGTTCAACATGCATGATTGTACAAAATTGTTATATGCAATTTTTCTCATTTGGTATCTTTCCCCCTTACTGACTTTTTTCATAAAAAACTGTCCGAGTGAGGACCAAGAAAATAAATTGACAGAGCCTCATATTGCAGCACAGACAGCAGTGATTCTATCATGTCACACTGAGTTATCTGTTTAGCCTGATTATGTTCAACATGAAGCTTAAATTGCTTCTGGTTATCTTTGCAATGTCAGGGATCAGACTGGAAATCCTGCGGAGCCATGCATATTTTATAAGCTTATGTCGCATCAGTTGACTCCTGCTCCTTATATCATTGCCAATGTACTACAGTCTACATCACACCAAAAAGCAGTTACTCAAGCAACTGGATATGATTTTGAAAACGTCAGACGTTTCAGTTAGTATCCACTTAGTCTAGCTTTTGTCAGTGACTGAGAGTAACCAGAGGAGAAATGCAGGTTTATAAGCACAAACTATTGATTGATATGCAAATAAAGTGATGACAAAATAAATGCTGAAAAACCTGCATTTCTCCTCTGGTCTCTCAGTCACTGACGAAAGCCAGTGGATACTAGCTGAAACGTCTGACCGTTTCCAAAATCATATCCAGTTGCTTGAGTAACTGCTTTTTGGCCTATCGTATTACCTGGGTGTCTAACCTTCATCGACATACAGCCTACATCAGTATGCAGCACAGCTACAAATTACACATGTAAAGCCTGGGGCATGAGTTAGGATGTTGGAGCATGAAGTAAGACCAGGCGTGGTATTCAGGGCGTGTAGCGTTGTACATTACTGCAAGCTGAAGAGGCCCTGATGCAGCAAAGAGTAGAGCAACTGTCATTTTGATTCGATCATGAGGTTGTTAAGATTCTAGTACAAGGCTATCCAGCATAGTCAGAAAGGCACATAGAGGATTGCTGTATTGCAACAAAGTCCATTGAAAGCATGATCTATAATGATCTGCTGAGGGAAATCTGATGTGGTATTCATACTGTGAACAAAATTATGATGCACTGGAAGAGGCCAGAATGATGCAGCAAAGAGCTATATTAGTAGTTGCTGTTTAATTTGTCCCTAAAAAACTAAGTTAGTTAAGATTCTATAGGGCCATTCTGCATAGTCAGAAAAGAGCATTAAGGATAACTGCATTGTAGCAATTTGAGTGCACAATCTATAATACTGCAGTGTGAAGCCTGATGTGGTATTCATGCTCTGAAAATTATGATGCACTGAAAGAGGCCAGAAGGCAGCAAAGAGCTCCAGCAGCTTTGATTTCATTTCTATTACGAGGTTGTTAACAGACTACAGAACCAGTCAGTTCAGGAGAAAAGCACAGGATTACTGTATTGCATCAAAGTGTAACACATGGTCTATAAATAGTATAATACTGCAGTTTGAAATCAGACAGAGGGACTCATAGCCTGTAACGTTGCAAGTTGATTCAGAGAGTCAGAAGGGGCCGCATGGTGGTATTGGATTTCTTTTATCTAAATGGGGTCATGGTGGAAGGTTATACAACTACACATAGTATTCACGTCATGTAGCTAAGTTTTTGAGAGCTGAAACTGAATCATTCTAACTACATTTCTGGTCATTAAAATTCTACGCTCGTTCATAATTAGTTAAGTTGTGAAGCATGTGAAGAATTGCTTTTTTGGAACAGGTTTAGGATAAAATCAATCTTATGGCACTGCAAACCTGACTCTGCATTCACCTACTGTAACTAACCACACATGATCATTACTGAACACTGTAAGAGGCAGCAGTGCAGGAAAGACAAGTATTGGATTGATTCCAAGAACCTGAGGTCATTATTTACAGATTCCCACAGTATTCAGGTTGCGTAACTTTGCACATTATTATTGGAAGCTACAAGAGACTGCAGCGCTGCAAGGAATACAAAATTGGAACCACGTCATGCACTAGCCTCCATAGCATGCCAAAACTGGGGGTCTTCAGGGGTCTTTGGGAGCTTTAATGTGCTATTTTCTGATTGCAAAATATAGGCAACATAGCCGGCCTAGATGAATTACCCCCGTTTTTTTAGAACTGGGCTAATCAGAAAACAGCCGAAGACCACCAAACTACATGTATAAGCCTGCTACGGAGGCTAGTCATGCACACATTGGTAGTTAAGATTCCACAGGGCAGGTAACCCACGTCAGCGCAGCACATAAAGAGTTGGTTTATGGCCCATCGATGCTCACAGTAGTGAGCCAAGACTGCTAATGGTACCATGCCCACTCACTCATAGCCTGCATAGTCATGCATCATGTTCAGAACTGTGCCTATCTAGTTCTATGCCTGAATGGGTTTGGTTTAGCCCGGGTGCCATACTACTTGTTAGGGAAGCGAGTGTTGCAGCCCCGGCATACAAATAGGATGGTACCCAGGCTAGGTTTCTTTTAGGAGCAGACACAATTCTGGATAGTCTCTGTGTATCCAAGAACATAGCATGATTGGATGAGTCACTTTTGAACCACTCACAAAACTACTGGAAAAGGAGAGTCTCTATATGTTGTGTATGAAACTTCATTCATAATGTAGAACAAGCTGATTTTTTACATTTTGCATCAGATCTGGAGCCTGCAAAGGATGTACATTTGTAATTCATCCCATCAAATTTGTGAACAATTTGTAAACTTTTACAATCTGTTCCAAATACCCTCAATAAAGTCATCAAGCTGTCAACTGTAGCAATTCATTAAATGTGGCTAAATGAGATGTTACAAGCACCAAGCCATCACTTGTTACACTAAGCAATCAAAGCGCTGTATCCATATAAATGTAGCATAATAAATAAGGGATTGCCACTTAAATGAGACCAGAGGCGGCAGTTTTGGATCCACGATTGACCCAAATAAGTAGCATTACCGAAGTAGCGATGGACAAGATAATGCCACAGCTGATGAGTTACGAGCTAAAGTTGTGCAGATTGCCACATAAAGCGGGCTGCAGCGGCGGCAGCTCCATTTGGGGGTCTTACGGTCAGGTCCCACGTGCCACATCTGTCTGGATCAGTCTGGCCTGGCTGCAGAGGACTGTGTATCACGATCAACTCGAGCCAGAAATATTGACTGTTGCCATGCAGGGCCGGGCTAGCTATGGTCGTGTTAATAATAATTGTTTATTGCAAATTCTTGCCCGAAAAAAAGGGGCTAATTGCAGGAACAGAAGAAACATATGGTACATGTATAAAAACAGACAATTAGTACATATAGAACTACTGATAACTACTAAGAAACTACTAGTAAAAACTACTGGGTTTGACTTCTTTTTTGAAGACAGAGGAAGACAAAGGATCCGACTTTTAATGTGCAGTACTGGAAATAGTTAGCAGGGTCTGAATAAGATTGTTACCTCCTTGTTTGGAGGGTTTGTTTTTGGTATGTCTGTCTGTGTGTTTGTGTTGCGTTTCAGACTACAGTATCCTGTCATTTGATCTCCAAGGACAGCAATTTTGTTTGAGATTTTGTGCCAAGGACAGCTTTACATTGTACTAGTAGAACCAGTTTTGATACACATATTTTGTATCTGTATCAGTATAGCCGGTATAACCGCCATTCGGCATAACACACCAGCTAGAATTACTTCTTGTTAATTATATAATATATATATATAATTGTTATCAATTGTTTACAACAGACTGCCAATGGCCGTAGATGACATGTACCTGTTTGTTTATTTGTTATTTACTGTTGTTTATTGTTTACCCCAGATCTCGTACCTGGCGGTAGATGACATGTTTATTGTTGTTATTTATTGTTGTTATTTATTGTTGTTTATTGTTTACCCCAGATCTCGTACCTGGCAGTAGATGACATGTACCTGATTGTTTATTGTTATCTATTGTTGTAATTTACTGTTGTTTATTGTTTACCCCAGATCTCGTACCTGGCGGTAGACGACATGTACCTGTTTGTTTATTTGTTTTTTTACTATTGTTGTTTATTGTTTACCCCAGATCTCTTACCTGGCGGTAGATGACATGTACCTGTTTGTTTACTTTTTTTTATTGTTATTTATTGTTGTTTATTGTTTACCCCAGATATCGTACCTGGTGGTAGATGACTTGTACCTGTTTGTTTATTTGTTATTTATTGTTGTTTATTGTTGTTGTTTATTGTTTACCCCAGATCTCGTACCTGGCGGTGGATGACATGTACCTGTGCCATCCGCCCCTGGAGAAGGATATTTACTGGAACCAGCCTGACCCGGACCTGCCCTACACACAGGCGGCTCTCAGCAGCAGGACTACACCTTTCCTCGGATCCACCTTCGAACTCAGGTACTGGGAAGACAGTACTACCTTTGCCCATAGATACCTATCGTTAAAACAAGTCCTTATGAAATTACTTGTTCTGTGGCCTGGGTACCATCCTACTTGTATGCCGGGGCTCCCACACTCGCTTCCTTAACAAGTATACATTCTTAGGGATGCGAGTGTGGCAGCCCCGGCATACAAGTAGGATGGTACCCACTCAGGATACTTGTTCTGTGCCAGAGAGCCACAAGATTATGCTCCCCATAGGTTGAAAGGAAGTTAAATTTTTACTGTGTAAGTCAGTAGATGCTAGAGAGGTTGTTAGAAGTAGTACATTTCTTGCGTTTTGGGCACCATTGTGTTCATGTCCTTGTAGTCTTTTTATTTCTGACAGCATAAATTCTTTCTTTTCTCCTTCCCCCCTCCTTAGACTGAACAAAGACGACATGGAGTTCACGCACCTCCCCACGGTGGAGGAGAACACCAGCAGCCAGGACAGTCCTCCTAAGTACACCTCCAAGTTCCGTAACCACGCGCTCTCTCACGCCAGCTCAACCTTCTCCCTGAAAAGCTCCGCTCCGGGAACCCCCGGGCAGCCTTTCTCCGCTCCTCCGGGGATGAAGCGTATGGACAGCATCATTACCCCCTGCTCTACCGCAACCAACAGCCTGAAGCGCAACTTCTCGCTCCGCAAGCCGCCCCACCACGCCGACAGCTACACGGAGCTGCGAGCCATGACAAAGATGCACCGGGTGGACTCCCAGGACTCGCTGGTCCCTCCGGAGGACCACCCGACGGAGAGTGAGACCGGAGAGAAGGAGCTCGTCAGCCGGTCTCCTTCCGATCCCGGAAACCCGTGTCTTAGCCTCAATAACTGTCTTAAAGGAAAGAAGCTGCTGCAAGTCGGCGATCAGGGCGAGCCACACGGGACGTCGGGCGTCCCCGCGTTCTTCAGCTCGACGCCGCTGCCGCGCAAGCAGCTGTCCCGTTCGGTGTCGGAACTCGCGGCGGACGGCGCGCTGCTTGGAAACAAGCTGGGAAACTTCCACGAGAGTCTGGACGAGGGCATGTCCAGCATGACCAAGCTGGGGCCTAACAAGGACCTGCTCTGCTCGTCAGACTATTTCTCTAACGAGAAGCTGAGGGGGAACAAATCCTCCGCCAGTCTCGCAGAGAAGGACAAACCTGATTCCACGGACTCAACCAAAGATGCCCACGACGGCAAACCGTCCCGGTTTACAGTGAGACGTCCGTCCGACACGCCGCCGCTGCGCCCCAAGGGCCTGACGGCGTTTCTGTACGATGACGATGATGTAGATGAAGGTCTGTACAGCGCCACCAACAGTGCCTACAGCACCGTGAACAGCGTGCACGACGTGGTCAGCATAGAGGTGAGAGGCTTAGTAATTCCTCCTTAAATAATTTCATCAGGTTGATACACGAATGAATAGCAAAGCTCTTTGAACGCAACCATTTATTTTTCACGAGCCGACGTTTCGATGACTGTCTGTCATCTTCATCAGGGCAATTCTGACTGGTTTACTGTGCACTGACGCTAAATGTTACTTGGTGCATAGTAACATAGTGCATAGGATCTAGTAACATCGTGTTGGAACAAGCTGAAACTTTCTAACTAAAATTTGATTCGATTTGCTTTCAGGTGCACCCCGCCCTGCCGGAGTTGGATGATGCCGCGTCTGGCCAAGAGCTGCAGGACAACAACAACGCCGCTAGGGGGCAGGACGCGGCGCACCGGGAGGGGGTCGTGGTCACCATCGAGGACGAGGAAAACGGCAACAACAGCCCTGAAGTAGAGGTGGAGCTGCCGCGGGTCACGACCATGTGAAACTGTGCAATTCGGACTAAAGAAGAAAACTTTACAAAACATTCAAAAATACTTATGGTTGCAATCACTGAAGTACAGGTGGAGCTGCCTCGAGTCACTTCCATGTGAAACTTCTATCTGAGCAATTCGGACAAAAAAGGCAAACTTTAAAATTCACACAAATTCTTCTGGTTGCAATCATTGAAGTAGAGGTGGAACTGCCTCGAATCACTTCCATGTGAAACTTCTGTGCAATTCGGACAAGAGAGGCAAACCTTACGAATTATACAAATACTATACAAATGGTTGCAAAGTTGAGCTACCAGAACTGGTGTGTTATGATTTCTGAAAGTGACTTCCTTGCACAAATGATAATAAAACAGTTACTAACAATTTATACAATATGTTGAAATGACGTTAATACATGTACGTGCAGGTCACATTATATGTTTCTTCCTTGCCGCATTTCAGACCGTGCCGTAGAGTCTGCCATTCTTTTCTCCACTCTCTTCCTCTAAACTGATGGTTTTCAGACTCATTCATTGCACATCTGTGTAGAAAGTCAATTTTTGGTACCTGTTTGTCCTTTTACGTGCCCTGTTTCTTCAGAGAACCGCTTGTTTATACGCGTATAAGACATGCTTTCTGGACTACATCAGAATATGTTATATTTTGCAGTGTATTGACCAACATGGATAGTCGAAGAAAGAGAAGGACCAAGCCAGCAAACGAAATGGTGCTGATAATATGATCTGTGTAATATATGCAAAGCTTGTGAAACAGCTGTGTACAGGCTACTGTTTGAACCCTAAGAGGGCGACTTAAACCCGTGTAAATAATGTGAAAGTGCCATGAGAAGTCTCCGATACTGCAGCGAGTCTGTGGGAAAGGAAGTTGTAATATATTGTAAAAGTTTGTGCTCTTCTCTGCGGCTGTCCATGTCCCAAAGTGCAATCAGAAGCTGAACTGTACGCGTAGATGATGAAAAAAAGAACTGAGAGAGGTATAACAGCAAAAGGCAAGAGCAACTGATAAAAATACCAAAATGTGAATGTATAGATATCCTTAGGCTTAGCAAAGCCGGTTTTTGGTAATGCTGAGGTCACATTTCCAAACGGGGCCCGGTGGGGTAGTCTTATGGAACGACAAATATGATCTAAAAGACGACAAAGCACAAAAAAAGTTGAAAAAAATTAATAATAGTATCATTTACGTATATTCTTGATAAAAATTGTTGATTTTTCGTTAATCCAAACAGCGCAGCCAGGTCCCGGTTTGGAAATGTGACCTCAGCATAAGCGCCAGCAAAGCAGGCGACAAACAAAAAGCCAGAGGCTTGCAAAAAACACGCTTATTGGGATTTCTTTGTTGATGAACGTAGTTTGTTCAACTTGTTACACAACGCGCACAATTTGCGGTTTGTAAGAAATAGCGAAAGCTTAAACTGAGATGAACTGAACAGAACTAAACTGAGAAGTGAGTTTATGACTGAACAATGTTGTCAATGCCAAGTGCAAAGGCCCGTCCTGGCTTGTGCAAACGATGGGCGTCGAAGTTGTCATGAAAATATGTCCAAAGATGCCACTGACATTATTTACAGGACATGGAAGTTGTCATGAAAATATGGCTAAAGATGCCATAGTACAGCGACGTTTGAAACGTCAAGGAAGCATAGGTTGTCAAAGAATGTAACAAAAGAAAAGGTATTTTTCACTATATGTATATTTCAAGCTATCATGACATATAAGGTATCAGCCATGTGTGTACATGTATTTGTTTACACTGAGGTCTCAAAGTATCGCACAACTTGACATGAATGGTTTGTATTCATATTTGATAAAAATACGTATTACTTTGTCCTTGAATGTGTAGGAACATTGAACAAAATCTACATGTATTATTCATTAATTATATATTCTATATGTAATAGCTATTAATAGATGAAAGGTTGGATTGGTATTTATGACTACGATTATTTATTACTTATCCTATGTATGATATTTAAAATCAGTAGAACGAATATAAGTGATCGTTTGGCTAGTTGTAGATTATATTATAATATATTGTATCGCTGCATTTTTTCGCAAACCATATACCTCTGATATCTTTAAGACTTTTCCAGAAATTTCTGTATATGTTAAAAGCTTACAATGTTCACGACATTAGCGATAATCATTTCTGGACTCAATGTGAACCCAACTGCTGTACAGGATACATACGTGTACCGCTGCTATCTGCCAATACGTGTCTTCAGCAGTTTCTTCTGCCTGTGTCTAGCTGAGTGGAAATGTTGGTTCGTTCGGTGGTTGGTTGGTTGGTTGTCCGTTGTTATGTTCAGTAACGAAGATGTTACCTCTATGATGAATCCGATGCCGATGATTAAAGACAATGACAGCTTTGTACCGAAACTGTGTACGGTGTTCTTTCTTCTGTATTAGTCTGACGGGAAATTTTCCGATTCCTTTTTCATAATTATCTTCTTCTGTTATCCTCTACTGAACATTTCACTTCTGAAGCTGAGGATCCAACGCAGGGCAGCTTTACAAAGAAACTATTCCTTCTACTTCTACGTACGTGTGAGATCTTCTAAGGTCTTTATATAAGTGCCAGCAACTTTATCTTTAGGGCATATTGTGATATTTTGCTTCTCATTTTTTTATCTTCTTTAAATTTTTCTGTTTGATATTTGCCAAGCATATGAATCCCAACGATTCCTCAGGGTATGTTGTGATATGTTACTAAATGGGATAGAATCTTTGTATGAAAAAAATCTGTCAAAATTGTTAGAGTGATACTTTCATCCACGCCAGACCGGCGCCACGTGAACACTAACACCGATTCCCGGAGTCAGTACAACGTTAACCAGCCGCTCTATGTTGTAACATGATATCCCAGGTACAGGTCTGGCCAATGACAAACTGTCACGTCACGTCCGTACCTGACTGTTTCCTGGAAGTAGTGACCTTGGTAAGGACGTCCTTGGAAAGTTCTAAATTTGCACCTATTTTTTTTCATCAAACGCGATTAGGTATTTTAGTTGGATCAGAGATAGATCGTAAATCAAGTTTATTTTGCATAATGTGTCGTAAAATCAAGTTTATTCTACGTAACGTGTGGTAAATCGAGTTTACTGCACGTAGACGTGCTAATAAGATTCGCCAGCATTTTACGACAAATGACAGCACCTATCCTGTTTCCTGCATATGATACTAGATTCGATCAGAAAAATAATAGTATGACGACAGCCATTTGGCGTCTGCAGGATAAGGAGATAATGCATTTTAAGAAACCTAGCGGGGGAGAGCATATCTGCAGCCAGTCGATTTATTTGATGAACATTGATGTTGAGAGATGCCTTTTGACAGTCCGCAAAATTAGATTTGAATTTTGGACAGTATGATTATGTTCTGTAGGACTGAAGTACTAGTAAATATTCCATCTCCTATTTTAAAACATCGCAGTTCAGCCAATATAACTTGAACACTCGCGCCCTTCGTTTTTGAGTTAAAGTAGGTAATACATTTTCTCGTCGGTGTTCTTGCAAAGTTTCCAAGTCAATTAGAGTCACCAGAATCACTCAAAGCCCATGACTAACATTAGAAGCTGCCACAGACCCACTGAACTGAAGCGAAACGAATGTACGTAATCCGCAGGCTCACCGTAATGACGGTTTGAGCCACCTGGTTCTCCCCCTCCGCCGGCGTGTACCATATATTCACACGGCGGTGATCTGACTTAATTCTGGGCTGACACGGGTGGCCTAGTAGTGTCTACAAGGTACATTCATACTTGTCTTTTCCTGTTTAATTTGTGGAAGAAAGGTGTTATTATAAGGCCAGAGATGGCCCCTTAGTAAGGGAAAACTTAACCTAGATATTCTTCATGTTCTTTATTACGACACCACAATAAAGTATATTTTCACTTATCTGTCAGTCAGTCTGTCTGCAAACAAGCTTAAGTCTCGGTGAAACAGGCCCCTGACCTTGCTACCAACAGGGGGAAGTGGAAGAAATTTGTAATCACCTGAGCAGCAGCCGACCGATGATGTCTGCCTGTCTGTTTCTCTTTCTCTCTTTTCTCTCTTTTTTGTCTCTCTCTCTCTCTCAGTCCTATCTGTTGGACAGGCAAAGGGTTGCAAGGCAATATGCCTGAGTAAGGTGGTGAAGTATGCTATCTCTGATTACGAAATCTTTTGCGAAAAAGGAATTGGAGAAAAGTAGAGTATTTCAGACAGACAGAGTTAAGCACTCGTAACAGTCGGTGTCACTGAGAGGTCGGTGAAGAAAAAATGACATCGGTCTGCGCTCAGCGAGCCGTGTTACCAGACGGCTGAATTATAATGACAATGACAATGACAATGAACTTTATTGCATATCCACGCCCTACATGGGCCAAATGCATTAAGCTGGATAACTATAGGTACAGGTATAGAAGAAACAAGTGTTATACTTCTGTGCTATAACTATAGGTACAGGTATATAAGTACAGGTATAGAAGAAACAAGTGTTATACTTCTGTGCTATAACTATAGGTACAGGTATATAAGTAACAAGTGTTATACTTCTGTGCTATAACTATAGGTACAGGTATATAAGTAACAAGTGTTATACTTCTGTGCTATAACTATAGGTACAGGTATATAAGTAACAAGTGTTATACTTCTGTGCTACGTCTCTAACTACAGGATCTATCTACATGATCTCCTCTCTCTTTTTGAAACATGTATGAACAAATTTACATAGCTTTTCATTTACATCGTAGTGCTTGGATGTCATAATATATTTGAACAGTTCTGCTTTTGACAAGTATGTATATTTCTTCTCTAACTCTAAGGAATTGATAAAGGATTTCCGCATATCAGTGTATAACGGGCATTCTAAGACAAAGTGTTCTTCATCTTCTACACAGTTACTGTTACATAAAGTGCAAATTCTGTTACTTGCTGGAGTCTGGTTATACCTACCAATTTCGATCTGTAATTGGTGATCACTAATCCTTAATTTTGTCAATGCTCGACGATGACTAAACTTTTGCACATCTAAATATTGTTCTTTTTCATATGTAAGCTTAATTGTTTTGTAAGTTCTTAACTTATTTCCTTGTCTTCCATTTTTGCTATATTTGGAGTTTATTTCTGAGTAGAAATATTGCAGAAAATTGTCTTTTAGTCTTTGTTTTAGTTCAGATTGAGCAGATGATGTGTTTCTGTCTTTTTGGAGTAAAAGGTAGGCAAAACCTGACTCCTCGAGTATTCTACTTATATT